AAATTTCGATAATATTATTTACTATTATATTATTACTATTAACTATTTACGATATACCTTTCTCCATTGACCCAGTAACAGGTCAAGAATAAAGTATACATCGTTGTTCGTTTATAATAACCTAACTTCAAAATTCCGATAGATCTGATCCCAAGCGAAAGTTCGAGCTGGACCTTCACTCGGCATGGTCCTCGATTATATCACCTACTTCTCGATCGAGTTATCGAAAGTCACCAGGGGCTCGTTAACCAATTTGCGATCAATTTAATTATCGCAACTCGCCGTGAAGCAATTCGAGTTTTTCGAAACGAGCAAGCGACACTGACGAATCCTTACCGACTTAGCAAGTACCCGTTGCGCGTAGCCACTTGGCCGGCGAAAACAAATCGAATTTTACGGATCACACAGAAGCCTGGTGCTCCGTGGAAGTTTTCCAGGGACTTCGGGAAGGTCGCGAAGTAACCGATCTGCGTTGGAAGTCGAACCAAGATAACCTCGATTTATAGCGATACAGCACCGCCCTCTTAATCGTCGCGCGTCTCGCCCGATTAACCGTCGCCGGTTTATCCCCACCACTTCACTTATTGTAATCAATGTTCCACGTTTTCGCCTCGCACGATTCAGAAGCGAGCCTAATTGAATATGAGACGTCCACTCGGATAAATGTTAACTGGGCACTGTTGTATCAAAGGACTTTACTAATAATTCTCGCGATGGACTCGCCTAATAGGTTAATCGAACAGTACATTCGACGTAATCCAAAGACTTCATTAGCCAATATCACGCATCATTGGCCCTCTACTATACAAATTATAATTATAACAATAACTATTATTACAAACGATACTTTATTATAATAAATATTTCACCTTCCCGTTTCACACGATCCAGAAACGAGTATAATCGATAACAAAATCGAGATATCCATCTACCCGGATAACTGTTGCATTATGAACCCTGCGCGACCACTAAGCGGGCACTGTTGCACCAAACGACTTTGCTGACAATTCTCGCGACGAACTCGCCTAATAGGCTAATCGACTGGTACATTCGACTCAATCCAAAGACTTCATCGACCAACACCATGCATCGTTGACCTACGCGACTGACCTAATCGCGACCCGGAACACATTCGCGGGCCATTAAGCACTCCTAGGATCCCCTATTCCGGTAGATTCTTAATCAACTTCCGTCCCCTTCGACTCTAACCGTCGGCTAATTAAGCTATTAATTAGCCCGGAGGTGGATGCAAATGCCGGTCCTTTCAAGTTTGACCGGTAACATCGGTCATGGACTTGGCGTACGGGGTCAGCCCCTCGTCTTTAAAGCCTCGCCTTTGACGTCGTTCGAGTTTAACAACCTTTCTTCTCCCCAAAGGGACACTCCGAGACGGCGAACGTGCTCCTGCAAGGATCTCGGAGAAATTGCACGGGAACCTCGCGAGAGCAGGAAATAAATACATTGTCGAAACGGGAGGTTATACCACGAGCGATATAAAACCGGGCGACATTATGCACGACAAAATACACGGCGATGCATATGCATGAGGCTGGCAGCGTGGCCGGCGTGCACGCGTTAGGAAACCTCGTAATATGCAAATCGGGGCCGGTGAAACCGCCACCAGGGAAGAAACTGAATCCCGGAAACGGAATTGATCCTTTTTCTTCGTGTAGACGCAAAGACGGACGCGTCACGACAGTTTAGGCTTACGTGTGTGTCATGTTCTAGCGTTTATGCAGCAAGGACCGTGTCATCTCGATTGTTTTCAGCTATTCAGTTGCTGCAGAGAGAAGAGAATAGCGTTTCGTCACTGGTAGATGAAAGATTAAAGGAAATAATAGAGATTGGTTAACCCTCTGACTGCCACGCCAATGAAATTACGTGTTTCGCTCAGAACGCCACGAGAGTGCGCCGCTAAATGCAAGATTTGTTCTAATATTTTTTTGATGGATGTTTTAATACAAATTTTTAATTGCTCAATGTGGCACTTGTTATTTTAAAGTGTCTTCTCATTAGTGCTTATATTCACAATGCACCAACTGCCAATTTTTACAATGGTACAAGTATACAAGTAGCTCAAGCGCTCCGGTCATCGATGACCACCGTGACGTCACAGGAGAAACCGTTGCCGGTCATATGTGAACAACGTGGCAGTGAAAGTGTTAAGGAATAACGAGAAGAGGGCGACACTTGCTTCGTGTTGCGTTGATTATGTTAATAAAGACGGGAAAATGAAGATAGTAAAAACGAAAATGATACAAGATGTTCACCCTGTATATGTAGTCTCATCTTTCAATGTTGTATTATTATAATTAATTATTATAATATCGCCATAATAGAGATCGAAATAGGTAATTAAACGATGGTTGTAGATAGGTAGTTTGATAAATTATGTGGTTGGTCAGATGCAATTATGTTACTGTAATTGATAATTATTGTAGACTCGTTTGTCCCTATTTTACAAAAACTATTTTGAAAATTCGTTTATGATTAATATAATTATAATTATAAATTGTAAAATATAGAAATTATATTATTGATGTAATAAATATAAATTTAAGTATAATTATAAAATTCAATAATAAATTGCTCTAGCAGATCTTCGAAAAGAGTGCAAAATAATAATTAATTTTATTATTAATAAGATCATAACCTAACTATTTGTATAAAGAATACGCTATACTTTGGAGATATGAAAAAAATTTTTTGAATTTTATTCGCATATTCGAATGAAATAATTCGTAGCCTAATTATTCATCTAATAAAATAAAATAAGCTAAATGGCTATTTTCAAGATCTCAAAAAAGTATTTTGAATATTGACTGAATGTTTGTCTGAAATCGTAGCCTATTTATTTAATAAACTAATTATTTAAAAAATAAGCTATTAATTTAAAAAGAACACGCTACGTGGATATTGCAAAGATACGAACCAAATTTGTATTTGGACAAATTCGCCACTGTGCAGAGTCGCAGTAGTATGTACAAAGCAACTACTCATGGTGTGAGTTCGTAAAGATTCTAACCTATTTGTGCGATTACTGCTAAGTTTGGATAGCGCCTACAGACAACCGACTCTACGTCGTTTGCCGGAGATTCGAGCAGCTAGAGAACTCGAAGGTCGGGATGCTAAATCGATCGAGACTATGCATCGTTTGTTCAGACTTACGTCCAATCACGTTGGATCCAGTAGCGACAAATGCGTGAAGCAGGTTAGATAATTAAAGATTCATCTCGTTCGCAGTCGCGGCAAGATTCTTTCGCGTCTTCCCGCCACATTTTCTGCCATTTTTTCCCCCCCTCTTTATCCGTTTTTGGCGCCGACGATAAATCAATTTACGGAAGGACGTCGTCAACCGACGCGTTTTCCCATTTTTCTTCCCCGATCGGTAACTCCGTGATCACTCGTCCCGCCAGGGGACGATTTATCGCCTCGATTTATGGTGGAAAACAATCGAATCGGGATCGAATGAATACCCGGTTGCTCTATGATGACCTATCGGCTGGAAATGCTAATTTCGCGGAAACGTATATCGAAAGAAAGAAAGAGAGAGAGAGAGAGAGAGAGGAATTGCAGAAGTCCATTTAAGAAGACGTCGCTCAGATCGCAGCTAATTTCCCGACCTTTTCTCCGGCAATGACCCGTTTAATGGCCAAACCGTCGCCTCGATTATCCACAAAGAATCCACCTACTTCGCATCCGGTCGATCGACGCGCTCGTTAAGCCCGAAATTCGCGCAATTAGCCGAATCCAAGGCTACTCTCTCGGCATTTTCGCGCGAAAAAGATCCCACCGATCGTTAATCGCCTAACTGATAACGTTTCAACGTGGAAGGGAAGAGACAAAGCACGAGATACGTAGGAAGAGATCGAGAATCACGGCCAATGCGATCATCAATGGCCCCACTTGTGCCAGGATGGAACGTTGAGCGCCATAATAACGATGTTTAAGCCACGAGATAAATACGTAGCCTTCTTCAATGGCTTCCCGGGGCTTCTTTTGATCAGGCAAATTACGCGGACCCGGAGAAACGTTAATCGGCGTGGCCTGATCCGGAATGTGGAAAAAATCAAAGGCCGTCGCTTAATCACCGCGATCAGGCTGGTATTCAGCGGTCTTCTCTGTCACCTTCAGCCTTGATCAAAGAGGAGCGTGGCAAATGGCCGGAGATTTCGTCTTTTCTCGCGACCGAACTACGAGCGGAAAAATTGACCCAAAATGAATGAGATCACGGCTATTCGATTAAAAAATCCCCGTCAAGTTCGGATTTCTAGGTTACCCTCTCGGCGGCCATCTTATTATCGCGGTACTGCGAGCCTCCATTTTGTTTCGCGACCGTACGCGTCGCGTAGCGTTGTTCGGATCTTTCGGTTACTCCTCGAGATTAGGGAAAGTCTCTTAGAGGTGCTAACCGGGAAAAGCAATTAGAAGCTTTCGTTAGCTCATCTCTGAGAAAAATTCTTCTCTTACGGGTTCGATTCTCGAACGAAATTCACGTCGACCGTGGAAGAAAAATGGTGTCCTTCCTTTGTTTATCGTGGTAGGAAATTACGAATAGTAGCTTCGTTGCATTTATATTGACACATTGTATGCGACGTGGACGTGGTCTAAGTCAGAGATCGAAAAATTATAATTCTAGACCAATTTTTGGCGAAATAACAAAGAACCGAACCTCTAATGCAAGTGCCTAATTTCACTGTAACTTTTACTATTTAAAGTACAATTAAAATGCGAAATTTTTAATACCTTGAAATGAAACTAGTATGACTTAGGCCACTTTCATAACCGCTTACACGATTTAATTTTGTTGGTACCGAACAAAATTAGGTTAAGCACGTGCTTTTCGTTTCCAAAGGATATGTATGCACATGTTCCGCAGATTGCCTATGTATCGGTACGAAAAATATACTGTATAATACGTGTCCCGTCTACAATGTGTTAATACTGTACATTAACGATCTTCGATATAGCGTATGGAAATTAGGAAATTTGATACTCACCTCCTTGCAACTGCGGTTCACCCAGTTCTACGTAAAACAGCGCGTCCTTCTCATACGAGTCCTCCTCGATGATCGACATCATGACCACTTTCCTAGAAAAAAAGAAAATTCCAGCATGAGAATATCGTATTGGTACTTTCACTCATCCAATTCTCTCTCATATTATTCTTAATAGCCTAACCATATTTTATTTTCCATGGTTTATATCGTCCGTTTACTAAACATGCGAATAAGCGAACAATAATGTTACAGTTAGGTGTACAAAGTTAGGTCAAGGTGAAGTTCGACTGTTCATAGGATAAACGGACCTCACAGCCTTAGCACACACACGCTGGTATTCTTTCGCCGCCATCTTGATGGACCTCCGATCTCGCGACGGTAGCGCCACCGCGACGGCAGCGCCACCGCGACTCTTTCGAGTCTACTCGATTCGAATTTCCCGGGTTTAATCCATCGCGAACGAGTTTGAAAATTGAACGGCTCTCGTTGCATTAATTCGTGGAGCGTGACGCGAAGCGTGAATGGAAATTTTTACGGTAATTACCGTCCATTTATCGCGAATTCGAGGCACGCGTCGCATCGATCAGACGCGATCGGTTACAAGAGATTCCGTTTGATTGTCTAGAGAAATTAACGGCGCGGAAATTCTGTATGTTATGATCATTACTGTAGCTCGCCGCGTAATCGGACCCAATAAGCACGAGTTATGGTAACGTTACGCTAACCGATATCGGTATGGCTGTAAAGCCAGCACCAAGGGAAGCTAACGTAACGTCGATACCGATAATTAACTGCGACGTATCGTGTCAACCAAACGACACCGTGCTGTTCCATTCCCTTATCGACAAACGCACTTTCGTCCATTGGATAATGGCTAATTAAGCATCTCCTTGAACCTCCATTAGTCATTCAAACCAGACGAGGTCGTTCTTACGAACGTCGCGTGACCTCGATCGGCATCAAATTTTAATTTCAACAGACGGTACATGCAACGTTAATTTCTACCGAGTGTGTCGTCTAAAATGTACACCTGGGACTCCTTCTGCACGGTGAAAATGGACCGTGCGAAAAGTTCCTGGGAATATTGATCGGCAGCACAGTGTAAAATTTGGTTTAAAAAACGTGAACCGTGGAAAAATTTAGGATACAAGAAGCACCGTGTAAAGGTAATCCCGAGTCGTTTTATTTTCACATTCGAATACGCGAACGTTGAGGAACATAAACAAAACTGACCAAAGTTCGTCATTATTCAAAATTTAATGACGTAGTTTGGAAAAAGGGACGATTTCAAATGGGACACCCTATGGAAACTGGAGTCAGATATCAATAGGTCTCATCGAATATTCGACACTCCACGACTACTATTCCACGAAGAACTATTGTTTTAACCACGTCTGTGTAGACAGATTTCTATGTACAGGGTGTACGAAAATTATTTTTCACGGTCGTTAAATAATCGTGTCATCGATACGATCATCACGAGGAGGGAATGTTCGAAAGCATCGTCTCAAAAAATTGGCCGCAAATATTTTCTCCCGTCCTTTAATGTTTTACAGGTGCCAAGATCCTCACTCGATACATGCATCGAATAAAGTATCAAAAGCGTTATATTAATATCTCGAAAACTATCAAATTTCCGAAACCAATATTTTACGTTCGGAATCTACCTATCCCCTCTCCTCAACTCCCCAAATTTGATAGCACTCGGTGATATGACCTTTGGAAGGACGGTCATAGAAGGAGTTCCAACTCGAAGCGAATCTTCAATGCTTTTCAGGTGTCAAGATCTCCACTCGATACATGCATCGAGCAGGGTATCAAAAGTTTTTCATTAATATCTTGAAAGCTATCAAATTTCCGAAACCAATATTTTATACTCGGAATCTATCTATTCCCTGCCCCTAACTGACCAAATTTGATAGCACTCGGCGACGTGACCTTTGAAAGGACGGTCATAGGAAGAGTTCGATTTCGAAACGAATCGGTGACCTTCTCTGCGTTGAAAATATCCACCGATCGTTTATTAATTCTAAGAACCTCGTCCCAAGTACATAGACCACTTAAACGGTCGATTATGCGGTTAAGGGAAACGCGCTATCAGACGTGTTGCATTTCAAAGTGTTTATAAGTGACGACGGATGCAACGAGGTCGCTTAGGACGCGCGTCGATGAGATTCGACGTTGTCGGAGCCAGATGGTACGCTAAATTGATTTGGCTGCTAGTCTGAATCGATTTGAATTTCAAATTCGAACGTCTAATTTGGCAAAAGCCGTCGGATCGTTCAGCCTGTCGGCCGTTACTCGATTATGAGCGTGTATGCAGAGGCGCGGCATGGCTGATTGAAAAGTGGCTGGACGGGTACCGACGTTGTGTAAGCCGACAGGGTAACGAAATTTTTTACCACCGCTCTTTCTGTCCCCCATGCTGTACACGTGTACCTTTCCAGTTAGCCGGACCCCGATAAGCAAAGAAATGTTATTTCGTGCGCAAGAATTATTCGAATTATTCGAATATTTCTGGTATTTGAACGGCAGAGGTGTACGATGATGTACAAACGTGGTTGCAAGCAGAAATGTTGCAGGTCGTAATTTCGCAAACTTTTAATTTACTCGTTAATTGGATCGCGGCATATATGATTAACATGTTTATCCAAAAAAAGAAAAAAAAATGAGAGAAGTATTATACACTTCAACCAACCGTTAATGGGAGGAATTCAAGTTCAGAACTTTAGACGGAAGTGGAAGCATGTGACGTATGAAGTTTTTTCCCTTGGAATATGACAGTATGCGAACTGAAATATTTAAAATGACGTGGATATGATAGATATGACAAGTAGTAAAGAGAAAATTCGACATATTGTGCATTTGATGGAGATATGGACCGTGGTGGCGCTAGTGAGTTAAGTGGAAAGTCGTCTTAAGTCTGTCAACGCTACATTCTATCGTTTCATTTTTCATGTAACAATTGTTCTGACTAATATTCGATCTCTGCCATACAATATCTTCGTGTTTGTAATAAATAAATCCTAAATATCGTGTGTATACATCGTTGAATTATTTTCTAATTTTATCGATGTAACCTTGAAGGTTGCATCTTTTTATACGCGTCATTATTATTTCAAATAGTTCACTTCAACGTTCGAATACTTTCACGTGTGTGTGTGTGTGTGTATTCGAGAGTTAATCCGGGGACAACGGAAGCGTCACGATTCTCGCTGCTGGCGGCATATTTTTCATTCGATATCCACGGCACTTTCGAAGGCAAAGTCTTCCTGAAATAGCTCTGACCTTAGACTTGAAGCCACGTCGCGACGATAACCCGCTGACTTGGAGTGTACGGACAGTTTGCGGCGACGAAGTATACCGCATCGATCGATATCAGCTCGTTCGTGTGTACGCACACTGACCATCCCTCGGACCGACCAGGCAAACAGATTGGCGCGAGGTTTAAGCCAAAGTGCTCGCCGCCGAATAGTCGAATTATTCCGAACAATGCTCAAACTTGCCACGAAGATTGTCACCGTGCCGCTGAACTCCCAACTTTGCAACTCTGGTGGCCATTCGACGGAAGGACTTCGCCGCGTTTCCTTTACAGGCAACAAAACCTCCTCGGCGATTTCTTTCGCTCCTGGAGACGTACCAACAAACCTAACCTCTCTTCCCATTGTATATCTTTCTACTGTTAAAGCAAAATGGTCAACGAGTAGCGCGATGATCCCGAAAAATTGGTTAGAGACTAGGCCTAGATCCATAGAGACTATCCGGAGACCCATACCCTCGTTTTGACACTAACTTGCGGGGTAGCTTCGATCACGTTACTAGAATCGCCCAACCAACGCCCTAACCTCTCTTCTCTTTATGTATTCTTTCTATTAAAGTATAATAGTCGCGGATATTCCGGTAATCCAAGTTTCAAAGAGACTATCCAGAGACTGATACTCTCTTTTTGACACAAACTTGCGGGGCTGCTTCGATCACGTTAAGAGTATTGCCCGACCAACACCCTAATCTCTCTTCCCTTTATGTCTTCTTTCCATTAAAGTATAATAATCGTGAATATTCCGACAATCCAAGTTTCAAAGAGACTATTCGAAGGTAAACCCTGCCTCTTTGCCTCTAACTTGCGAGGTTGCTTCGGTCATATTAAGAGTATTGTCCAACCAATACCCTAACCTCTCTTCCCTTTCTGTCTTCTTTCTATCAAAGTAAAATAATCACGAATACCAGGGTAACGGCGAAAATTGATGACCCAAAATCCACAGAAGCTATTCCAAGCCGAACTCTCTCTCTCCTACCCTAATTCGCGGTGTTGCTCCAGCCACGTTATGACTATTGTCCAGCCAACGACGCGTTCGATTGTTATTCGGCGCGATGGCCACGGCGTTAATGCAAACGTGCATTAACCCAGTTAGTCCTGTTTACCCTAACCGACGAGTCGTCCACCGTGCTCGAATGTTATTCGGAATCCTCGAAACCGACTACTAAGGCCGTTCTCCAGCGTGCTAATGGTACACAGTCATGGCACGGCCTGGTCAAATGTCATCCAATAACCTTCGAATGGACGCGTTCGCACTTGGACGGTTGCTGGTCGCACAAACCGTGGCTCGAACAGGGCAGGGATCCGATGAGAGTGGATAGGCGCTAATCAAAAGATCATCGAGGGGTGTTTGAACGAACCACGTGCAGCTTCGTTCCCCAGGTGACTCGAGATCGATCAATCGGTTCGAGAGCTTCCACTGCTTCCCAGCTGGCGCTGGTGTGGCTTCGTTCTGTGCACCCATTGTGGCCGGCTTTTGTTTAGAGTTAGCGCCCTTTCGACGACTCTCGATGCCTTTGACACGAGGAAATAGGACTCCAGGATGAATTCTCACGCGTAAATCTCGGCAATGGCTCGCGTATATAGCCGAGACGATGGAACAAGATTACGTTGCCTGTGTATCGTCAGCAGGTCGTTCTTGCTTCATGACGATTAGTGACGGACGGCTCTTTGGGGAGATTGTGTTAGGCTTCGAATAGTAAGTGGACTGTGTTATCCTGATACTCTGTGTTCTTATATGCCGCGTGCTACCAGGTCTAGCATTTATATGGACAC